GAGCTCCATGGCTGCAGCCCCAGGAGGCTTCCAGGATCCCAGGTAAGGCTGCTGGGGCCGGCACAGTTGCTAGCCCCAGCCTCCCCTATCCCATCAAGGGTAACCTGCCACATGCCAGAAGGCACGTGGCATGGGTGTTCCCCAGGGACAAGTAGCAGTGGCACTAGGTGTACTGCTGCTTCTTATCCCTGGGGAAACAAACGTCCACACTCATGTGGCCACAGCCAGAGAGGGTAACAGAATCACTTTTGCACAATAGTTGGATAACTCAGAGATGGTCACAAGTTGTACTTTGATCATTCACAAGATGACATAGAATTCTGCTCAAAGGGTGCATCTACACATGCAAGTAATGCACACAAATAAACTCTGGAGCATATTGGTCTAGAGATTTTTTCTCCTGGGTGCACCATTTGAATGTGCTAGAAAATTTCCTAGAAGTGAGTATTGAAACTGAAGAAGGGTGTTTCTACCTGAAAGCTTGCAAAGAACAATTTTTCCAACTATTTAATTGGGCTAATAAAAGATATGACATTTACCCAAAGACCCTTGTCTGACTATTGAAAATTAAGAACTTTGCAAAGATACTTTTAATTGTGTTAGCTTTTAATTTTTTTTCATTGTGCCATGCTTATTATTCATATTTATTATTTTTAGTATTTTAAATAACTCACAATGTTACTTATTAAATTGAATACTTGCACTTATTTCTTTAAATACTTCAAAACCAGCAATACAAACAACTAGAAGCAACCTACAAATAAAAAATAAATAAGGATGCAGACAGAAGTTATGGTTTTTATGTGATCAGCCCCCTAAAAGCACTCTACAGCCATGCTGTGACATACCTGAATGGCTGCAGAGTGCCTTTAAAGTGGCTGATCCCGTGAAAAATTAACCCTCCTCAAATGAGGTATCAGATAAGGGTGCTCTGCTTTAGAACACCTTAGGGAACTTATGTCCCCGCAGCTTAATTTTTTGAGCATTCAGGACTGGGATGATGCAGTTCAGCCTTGCCCCTGGGGCTCTTGGCAGGAAGGGAGGGGAAAAAGGGAGAGAAAAGGTAGAAGAGAGCCCAGCCTGAGCTGGAGGAGGGGGGTTGGATCCTAGCCCCTTGCTTCATGGGCTCAGCCCAGTTCCTCCCAGTACCCCAGCCAGCTGTGGGGTGTGAGACAGGGGGGCTTCAATCTACCCTCCAGCTCAGGCTGGGCAAAACCCAGCTGGTAGCTCACTGCTGCTGATTGCACCCTCCCTCCTCTATCCTCCTCCTTCCCTTTCTACTCACATCCCCAGAGCTGGGGGGTGGGGAGGGAGTGGCAGGGTTGGGAAGAGGAGTGGCTTCTTGGCTTTCTATTCACCTGCAGGCAGACTCAATCTTCCTGCAACAACGCAACAGGCAAAAATCTGCTGGGGGGGAGGGGGGGAGGAGTTCACTCTAACTCATCACACTTTATGTAAAGCACCATGAGTTAGATTGGCAGGCTGAAATCTGTCAGCACACTGAGAAAGAAAAAGGGCTGTTAATAATTTTTTGGACCAAAACAATTAATGGAAACAAGGAAATCCACAATGATTTGACAAATATTATTTCATTTTCAAAAAATGGTTGTTTTATTGAATGGATTTTTGGACAAAATATTTCAACCAGTTCTTATTTGCCTATTTTTTCCTTATCATAATCAGTGCTCACTATTATGTTTTACCCTCTATTTCTAAATCCAATTACTCACACATTTATCTTTATTCCATTATTACATATAAAGATATACTTAATAATAGGACCTTACTTTTGAAAAGATTATATTAGACCTTGGACAGCATACACTACTGCACAGTGATGTAAAATGTTCACAGTAGTATTGTATCCACAGCTTTTCATCTGTGTAAGGTAAACACAACAAATAGTGTCTTTCAGCTCTGAATGCCTTAAAAAGAAAGCATGGGAAAAAGTTAATCTGGCTCTCAAATTATTGCATTGTGTTTATTCTGCTTAGAGACTTGCAATGTTTAGCAAAGACAGGACATGCTTCCTGGCCAAAGAAAGAAAGGCATAATGTTTTTTCCATGGTTCCATGCAAAGAGACAGCAATTGTTCCGTGGTCTCATACAAATAAACAACACTTTTCTTAGGGTGAAGTTACACATTGCACTTCGATCTGCTCAAATGTTGATCAGTTTTAGTGTTAACTTTAGTTTGGAGCAGTCACATGTTCAAGCCAGCAGAGGCCTTGAAAGGTAAGACTCTCCCCCTTCCCCCATTCCAGGGCGGGTGGCAGGGGAGCAATGGACTTATCCAGGCTGGAGGGAGTGTAGCAGGGGACAGAAGCTGGATTGGAGAAAGCAAAAGGGGGCAGTGGAACCAAACAAGGCCGAAGGGAGGGAGAGGGGGTGTGGCTGGGGTGTTTACACTAATGTGTAGCCTAGAGTGGCTAGACATCAATGTAACATGAGCTAGGTAACACAGATCAGAGATAAAAGGAGCCAGGTGTGGCATAACTTTAAGCTGCCTAAAGAGGGGTTTAAACTAGTTTCACATATTAATAAGTGGAAAATCCAGGGGTTCAGAGCTCCAGGAGCCATCTAAAATTAACGTGTAACAATGCCCTTACATGTTACACTTAAACCATACTAAATCTGTGGAATTTTAAGGGGTGTTAACATTAGAACATGCTTTGAGAAATTGCACGTTAAGGGTTAATACCATTTTTTGCTGGCACAGCTCTGACTTGCTTTTGGAGGGATGGCGATCAGGAGCCTGGCTAGCAGCCAGGACACCTGGGCTCTTTCCTTGCTCTGAGTGGGAAGCCAGTGTTAGAAGCAGTGCACATTGAGACACATGGGGTAACCTTTTAAAGAGTGCCCGGGCACCCAGGCAGCTGTAGCCAGAGCCTCCAGCTCTCTCGAACTGCTGCAGGGGGGCAGAGCAGGGCAGGAGGAGGCTTGGAGCAGGCTACTCCCATCCGGAGTCCGGGCGGCTAGGATCTGGAACCAACTTCCAAGGGAAGTGGTGCTGGCTCCTACCCTGTGGGTCTTTAAGAGCAGACTTGACATTTACCTAGCTGGGGTCATTTGAGCCCAGTTTTCTCTCCTGCCCATGGCACGGGGTCAGACTAGAAGATCTACAAGGTCCCTTCTGACCCTACCAACTATGAATCTATGACTAAGGAGAAAATCTGCTTCCAAGAGGCTGCACGTGTAGATACGTTCCCAGGGCTGGCTGACTGCGCTGTTATTTTACAGTGAATTAAGCCAAATGTACATTAATAGTACATGTAGAGATCTAGGTAAAGACCTATAGCTAAACCTCAGCTATAGGGTACATTAATAGTACCCACTGAGATCTAGGTGAAGACCTATAGCTAAAATTGGGAGTATTGCTGGTTTAGAGTAGCGTGACCATGAAGCAGCAGGCACTCTGTTGTTGTTGCTGTTTTTCTGAGGCCCGGATTGCTGATTACTAAATAGACTACTAAAATTACTAAATACTGAAAGATGCTCGGTGCTGTTATTGTTACTGCCTTACCTAAGACTGTTCAGTCCTAGTTAGCATTCAGTCTGTTCAATCATGGTCTTTAAGCCACCCTAAAATGACTATTTTCCTGGGTCATTAGCTACTGCTTTCAGGAGAACTCAAAGCAGTGCCCAGCTCTCCACCAACAATCTAGTTTTAGGACAAAGACCCTCTTTTTCACAGCCTCAAATACTAAATGACACTAGTGAGACAGAACTTATAAGAATGAGCAGTCTTTTATGTCTGTGGTACTACAAAAGCAGAATGGCCTTTATCCTTCTCTATTTCTTTTGATTTCAGAGCTTAATATTCACTAAATGCATCAGAAAGGTATTAACGGGAACAGGAAAAGCGGGCACGCTTTCCCACTGACAAAGCGGGCACGTTGTCCTGCTGACAGGGCCTCATTCTTTCCTAACAGCTTTAGAGTTGATTGGTGCCATGGAAACAAGACTTCCAAGACTTTGTATCCCTGCTGCCCATTCAGCCTCCCAGAGAGATGCAAGTATAAGGACACCACATATAGGGACCTTATGGTGTTATGGCTTTTCACAGCCAGCTTACAAAGGTCTGAAGTTTGAGGTCCTCAGGAACAAAGGATCAGGAGGAAAGGTATACCACACAAATTATTGTTTCCAACAATATTTATACAGGTTGTAAAATTCACAGTTTACAGGCTGGAAAATAAAATTTAGGAAAACAATTACCCAGAGCAAACAGACAGAATGGATAGAGTGTGCCATATCCTGATACTGTTTCTTTGATGGCCACCAGATGTAACACAGTTTCCTATTAGTGTCCAGTACTGCCAACACCAGGCATGAAAATTTGGAGAATTAAAATTCTGGTAAGGAAATAAATTTTGGATGTTTGTAGTTGCCTTCTGGATTTTGAGCTTCTGAGTTCTACTCTGGTCACATTTTCAAGCATTTTTCCAAAATCATGAAGGCTAGAAATAGGATCTGTCTTTATTAGAAATCACTGGGCAGAACTGGTTTCAGTATCGCAGAACCCAGGATGCATTTCCTTATAGAGTACTGTGCCCTGCCATCGGTCTGATTAGCCTTTTTGCCCAATCCCCGCTGGATTTACCATCTTCTCACAAATGCAGAATTTGTAATCACTACATTCCGCAGTGTTAACATTTGTACCTTGGATCCACACACAGATCAGGGAAGAAGTGAAGCTAGCTTCTGGGATGTGAAATCTAGAACAGAAAATCAGAGTTTCCATCCAGCTGCAGCCCGATTCAGGTTGTAAAAATCACAGATCAGCATTATTAATTCCAACCCTGCCACCACCTTAAATAACAGATAAGTCAGCTGTCCGATAACTATCCATCTGTACTTGTCAGGTATGCAAGTAATACATGAGTACATGAGCTAACAAAAGGAGAGTGGGATCAGCTGGATGAGTGGGTGATTTCTTGATAAAGTATCACTTCTTGCTTCATACCTCAAATTACAGTTTATGTAATACATATGCCCAAAACTCCATTGTTTTTAGATGTAGTGCAGACTTACAGGTCACTGGAAAAAGGTGTGCCATCCTCCCATAACCATGGTTGGCCAGCTCCATTATGAGATAAACCAATCCAGAAAGAATTGGAACTGTATAACTGTGCTGATTTCATTACAAAATCCTGTATGGAAAGACAAGCAGAGTTTTGAATGTCATCATGACTTGGAAGCTGTTCATAGTTAGAGAGGGGGAGAGATAGCTAGAAACAGAAAAAGAGACTGGTATCTGCCACTTATAACACATTTTGTTTTGCAAGGAAACCTAGATAAGTCTTTTGAGTCCTGGTAATTATTAAGATTTTATAAGCCAAAAAGAATGAGATGCTGAGTGTCATCAACTGCTGTTGGGTACATTGGGAGGAACTGAGGTTGATCAGTGCTTCACAGAATTGGCTAATAGGTCTGGAAGAAATTCTCTCCCTCAAAATCCACTACTGAGGGCATGCCCAAATGAGGGTACACATGTGCTTTGCAGCACTGCAGACCTATCTGCAGTGCTGCAAACTGCACATGCTGCACATGTAGGCATTTGCTGTGCTGCTAATGTGCAGCATGGCAGGTTTTTTGACACCGGGAAATCCTTGTGTCGAAAAACAAGAACCCACCAGATTAAAGTGGGGTGGTGCATGTGGTGGCAGCATGCACCACCTGAAACTGGAGGCTTGCTGGCCAGAGCCACGTTCTGGCTGCCAGCCAGGGTCCCTGCACCCAGATCACTACTGATGGAGCCTTGGGTGGGCCCCAGGACCCCAGGTAAGGTAGCTGGGGTCATTCAGGTGCTGGCTCCAGCCTCTCCTACCCCACCCAGGTCAACTTGCTGCATGCCAGAGCACACATGCAGGGGCATTCCCTGGGGACGACTAGCAGCACAAATATGTACCGTGGCTACTTGTCCCCAGGGGATGCACATTTCCACTAATGGGGACACACCATCAGAGGGGGAACTAAAAGGTTTTAACTCTTTAAGGCTGTGTGGACACACCATGGGGGTTTAATTTGGTTTAGTTCTCCCTAAACTGAAATGGTAGGTTTTTAAAAACACTGTTTCAATTTAGGGAGAATTAAACCAAACGAAACCCCTGTGGTGTGTACACAAGGGTGGTGGCCCAATCCTCACCTGCCTCTTCAGCGGCAGGGGGGGGGGGGGGGGGGGGGGAGGAGGAGAGGGGGGTGGGGCGAGCTGCTGGAGGGAAGTACTGGGCCCCCGCACAGCTCAGGCAGGCAGGCAGGCTCCAGGGAGGAAAAAAAGAAAAAAGATCAGGCTTGCCACTCTTTTTTCCTTCAGTAGAGTCTTCCTGCACAGGCTTCTGCCAGGTCCCACAGTCCCTGAGCTGTGCGGGGCCCTGAGCATGTCAGCTTCCAGCACCTCCTGCACTGTTGCAGTTTGCTAGGTAGCAAACTAAAACACCTCGGAGGTGTTTTAACTTGCTACGTACCAAAGTTATTTAAAAGCGGCATACGGTGCTGAGCATGCAAACAGCAACACCATTTAAGCAGTGCAAAAAGGCATTTAAGCCACTTTAAAAGCAAATTTTGTGGCATGTACCAAGGTCTTAAATAAGCAGCACATGGTATTCTTACAGTAATGAAAGTCAAAATAAGAATAAGACACAAAAATCATAAGCTCCAGAGTTTGAACTAATTGCTCATAAGATCTGAGAGGACATTTCATTTTACCTATTCAGTCAGTTAAAGAAAGATTTGCCTGCTCAATATTGTAGGAGTCAGGAAAGGAGATGGGCAGACGTTCGGATCTCATGGGACAAGAGACAGAATAACAAACCAAACCATCTTAGTCTTCATATTCAATGAAGTCTTGAGACAGGCAATCAGACTAAGGAAGAAGGACCTTGATTTAATTCATCTGAGGATCTGGCTCATTGTTCATATATATCAAGCACCATTCAGGATTTCTCCCTTAGATGAACAATACAAATTATACACCAGATAAGAGAAATTAAAAATAAATCTTTACCAGCTCTTTCTTGCTCTCTATCTTAAGGAATCTAGAATCCAGAGAAGAGCAAAGAGCTTCACTTTCTTGCCAAGTTTTCCATTCAGCAAAATAGTAGTAACAATTCTCTCCATGCTGTAGCCAGTTTTCAGGGCAAGGAGTACATGTATGTCCTTGAGAACAGAACAGCATGTCACCATGTTTATCAAAAACAGCATTTTTCTATATCTTTTTCCCCTGAAAGATTATAAAAACACTCCACAGACTGCATTATGGGGTAGCAATGGTTATTCCATAGTTTGGTTGTAGTTAAGTTCACAAATTTATCAAAGGCTTGCTAAACCCAACTGATTCAGCACTTTCAAACAAAAATAAAAGTAAAATAATAATAATTATTATTATAATAATTATTATAATAATAAAATCCATTTGGAACCTGGCCAGAACCTTTAGGGCTTTAACCTCTGCCCTCACAAATAATGTTATGAAACCTTCAACATGTACAAGAAAGAAGAAACTGGATATCTCATTTGCATCAACATTTCCAGCAACAAAATGACCCTGGACAGAGGGCAGAAACACTGTCTGTTCCTCTGTGAACAAGGGAATGAATCCAGCCTTTCTTTCCTCTCAATTTTGTATATGCAGAAAGCTTGTGACTGTCTGATCCAGTTAATCTCAAAGGGACCACCCTTCCCTACCTCTTCCCTGACTTCAGACTGACCCTCTCAAAGTTATCCACATCCCTCTTCCCATCCCACCATCAAGTCCATTTCCAACACCCTGAAAAGGGATCCCTCACCAAACATCCTAACCTAGAAGAAGTCTGGCATGCCATCAGGGAAACCAAGAACAAAAAGGTTACTGGACCAGATAGCATGCCTGCTGAAATCTTCAAGGCTAGTGGCAAGGAACTAGTAGAGTCTCCACAAATTTATCCTTCAAATATGAAAAAAATTAGGAGATCCCAGGGGCTAGATAATCACCTAGCCAGGGTTGTTTGACCCCAGCATTCTTTCCTGCCCATGGCAGGGGGTCAGACTTGATGATCTGCCCAGGTCCCTTTCGACCCTACCAACTATAAAACTATGAAACTATAGCTGACCACCTCTGTACCTTTCACTGGCATAAGTGATTGGAAAAGGGATATGAAAGAAGTCTGCTGCTGAGACACAAGTCTTTGGAACATTGGTCTCTGTTCACTAGGTTATTGGTGTGAATTAATAGCCAACTTAGGGAATTCTATTTACTATGTGAACATCTCCATTAATTTGTTTTAATGTCTTGCTGAAAGAATTGGGGCTTATTCTTCCCTGCTGTATGTATACATACATACTTACTTACTTACTTACTTTCTCTCTCACTCACACTCACACATTACAGCTGTGCCACTGATAACATCTTAGACCTAATTTGCATTATTTAGTACAGGTGTAGATAACAAGATGTAAAGCAGGACAAAGTGAAGATAGGTGCTCCTTAAGAAAAAGACCTGGCTCTCTAGCTATTTTTTTTACTGACATGTCATTCCGCTGACTTGCTATACCCAAGCATCATAAGACCCTGGGTCAATAGTGAAGTCTAGAAGAATAAATAAAGTTTATATTTTTTATCTGATCGTCCCTGTGTCCATGGAGCTAGTAATACCATATTAAACAGAAACAGGAAGAAGAGAAACAACTGCAGACAGTAACTCTTTTTAATAGAAATCCAGACTTTTTAGAACACAAAAGCTCTAAATGGGGGCAGTGTGGAGGGGAGAGGCTTTTTGTTTTGTTTTTCTTTTCCTTTGTAGATCACAGCCTAACTTGGTCAGTTTATATTCTGGTCTGCTCAGGCCAGATGGCAATTAGGATACAACTGTGGGCTATATTTAGTCCTTTGATATGCTGCATTGTGCTGCTTTATGCATCTAGAATCAGCTGGTTTTCTTTCAGTGCAGTTTGAATGCGGCTACCCAAGGAAATAACCATAATGCTCTGTCAGGGAGATTTTTGTTCCAACTTGCTTTGTTCCCCACTTAAGTTCTCAATCTACACTGCTCTTGTTTTACTGTATGGATGATTTATGCGTAGCATAACAATTTTTGCAAACTCAGATATTCCTGCACTAGAAGTCCAGATCTTGATCAGATGATGGAAAGAAGAATCTTTGGTTTAAAGTTTTGGGTTTTTTTTTAAAGAATTGAATAGTTCTGATCATGTTCACAGCAGTGCTGATGATGTTAACATTTTCTGTTTTCTGATAAAAAATATGTATTTTATTTACAGGAAGCTCCCCTTTAGTGCAGCTTTATTCACACACACAATAGTAGTAAGAAACTATCATGGGTGACTGAATAGAAGAGAGTTTGTACACATTGTTATCAATAAAAATCACTCCTTTTTAAGGGATGATGGGTCTTGTAACTGCAACATATTAGAATGAAACAGCCTTAAGGAAACAAAACAGTCATCAATAGTTAGACCCATTCATGAGTGACTGGTGCCTTCTGAATCTGGGGGGGCATCCCCAGAAGCTACCGACGGCAGCGGCCCTGTCGGGGGGAGGGGAGGGGGGCACCAGCCCTACCAACACCATCAGTATTGGCCATCAGGGGGTGCACCAGCCCCATCGGGGGGGGGGGGACATGCACCCCCTACCATTCACCTATGGACCCATTTGGGAATTTTCCACTAAAATGGGTATTTTGGAGTTAAAAAAGCTGAACTGAAACTGTTCATGGCAAGATTGAGTTTCAATGAATTGCCCAAAATAAAACATTTTTGAAGGGGGGTGAGAGGGAAAATGTTGGCATTGTTAATACATCCCACTTTTGACATTCTTAAATGACAAGCTTCATTTTTGGTTTAAAATGCCCTTTTCCCAAAATTTAAATTAATTTGCATATTTAAAAGTTATGAAAATAAGTCAAAATGAAAAATGAAACATTTTAATTGAGGCTATCCAAGATTTTTTCCTCAAATAATCAGTTCCCAGGTAGTTTTGAGAGTTTTATGCTTTTCATCTCAGGTTAAGACAGGAAAAAAAAAATCAAGCTCTTGAAACCTCTCAAAAGACAACAAAATCACCTCCTGCCCAGCTCTAACAGCAAGTACTTCCCCCCACAACTTACCTCTCGAGCTTGCTAGTTGTTCTAGAGTCTCTGATAGATTTAAGTTCTGGGCTTGCAGAAGCTCCAGCTGCTGTGTGAGGTTTTCTTGCACTTCTCTTTCACTCATTAGGTGGGACACCTGAGTAACTTCAATTCACAATACAACTAGAATGAAATTGTTCTATTTAATATTCAAGTGAACTATATCACACACGACTGCATATATTTTGAATTCTGTCATCAAGAAAGTCGCCTATTATTCCCCCTGAAATTGCTTCACTCTTCAGAAATGTAGAAGAATTAAGCCACATGGGTTTGAGCTGACTAGGCATGGCCTGTGATCAAATACAGGGAAACTGAGGAAGAAAGATCAAGTGATTGCCCAAGGTCACACGGCAAGGAATAATTTTGAGCTTCCCTCACCCTTAAAGTTAAATCTTCCTTGTTCAGCTTATTCCGAACATTTTTATATTATTAATATTAAAACTTCCTGCTAATACTTACACTTGACAACTAAGACACCAGCTGTTGCCATGAAACCCAAGCAAAAGATCCCAAGGATCACTGCCACAATTCGCCAATAAGGAGATGGAGTTGGAGCATCTGAAATAAATAAGAAAGAAGGTCATAGACAAAAATATGGATTCTTTCAGTTTTCTGCTGAAAGTTGTTCTAATCTAATGGCTATGCAGTGATCCTCAAACTATATTAAATGAGTGTTGGGATTTCAGTTAATTTCATAGGAATATTTTACTGAAGCTGCCATCACAATTTTGTTACATAGTGACAGCACCACCCTCCATTAGTAGACAGAGGGTAGATAAAGGTATTTGGGGAGGTTAAGGGGAGGTTAGATCACATTTAACATGGCCACTTGATCTAACCTAGTTTGTCTAGGTGCAGTCCTTACACTTAGATCCCTAGTTAAATTGATCTAAATGTGAACTATATAGAAGTTCCAGGAAGTGTAGATTAGTCTAAAAATGGCTGACCCAATCTAAATTAACCCTACCCCCAAGGCAGTCTAATTTAGATTGTGCTGGACATTTTTAGACTGATCTAACTGTCCAAAACTTCTGTACAGTTCCCAGCGTAGCCCCAGGACTAGGAAAGCTCAGCTGCTAGCCCCAGCCACAGCACCAGGGCTGTACTTTTCCTACCTGCCCCCTGGCACCAGGCTACTTTTAGCACTCTGGCCCCTCACCTCACACCCAGATGAACAACCTATACCCCAGGACCAGACAGTTCTCCCTCTGCCCCCCACCAAGCCTTCCATCCCATGAGTTGCTTGCAGTGCCAGTTTTATTAGCATTTGCAGATGCTGGGAGCCAAGAAAGTAAGTCCTGGTGGAGAGAAAGGAAGGAAGGATGATAGGGTAGGCTTATTGGAATGGGGTGGGAAGGGCTAAAAAAAGCCCCAGGTCCTGTGGGGTGGGGGAGAGAGCCCCTCCCCCCCACATGGACTCCCCTGATCCTGCTAAACCCTCCACCAAACCCCCATGTACCTCACTTGGCCCCCTTGATCCCCCTTGCAGATGCTGCCTCCTCCCCAATCTTCCTGATCCTCCTACAGATCCTGCTTGCCCCCAATCCCTCCATCAGATGCCCCCTGCCTCACCCAATCCCCCTAATCCATCCTAAGAAGTGGTAATGACAGAGAAGTCTCCCCATGGAATTCAGTGTGCTAAATTAAGACCCATTTATATGCTTAATATACCAGTTCTTTGTTTTGCTAGCACTTCTATGCTGAACAGTTTCCAAGTGCTTCAAAAATCACAAATGCACTATAGAATATGGAATAGCCTAGACCAGGGGTGGGCAATTATTTGGGGCCATGGACCATCCAGGGAGTTTTGGTGAGATATTGTGGGCTGGGTCAGCACCTGCCCACCTGCCCTGTACAACAGCTCACCAGAACTCCTCAAGTGGCTCTGCTCTGTGCTCGGCTGGGTGGCTAGGATGGGGCTGTGGGTAGGTGGGGAACAACATCCAGGAGTGGGACAGGCAGGCAGGGCCAGAGCTAGGATTGTGATGATGGCGTGGTGACAGTATGGGCCAGGGTCTGGGGTAGAGCCATAATCTGCTGCCTGCACACCCCTGCAATGGGCACAGGTTCTGTGGGCAGGGGCATATGGGGAGCAGATCGCAGCTCGGCCCCAGACTCTGGCCTCACGTTGTCACCACACCAAGACCCTGGACCTGGCCCTGGACGCAGCTCCCCATCAACCTGGCCACACAACTGTCCATGTGGGTACTGTCTCCATGGAGGCCCTGGGATCATTGGAAGGTAACAGTGCAGGTCCGTGGCCCAAGGCAGAGCTGTGATCTACTCCCCGCATGCCCTTGTGATGGATGTCAGTTCTGCGAGCAGAGGTGGGCAGGCAGCAGATTGCAGCTCTTCCCTGGACCCCAGCCCCACACTGTCACCACCCCATGGTGACCAGCCGGGACCCATGCAGGCAGGGTGAGCTGCCAGGTGGAGAGGATGGGGCCACAGGCAGGCAGGGAGCTGTATCCAGGGCCAGGGCCAGGATCTTGGGGTGGTGGCAGAATGGGGCTGGGGCCTAGGGCAGAGCCACGATCTGCTCCCCAAATACCTCTGCCTGGAAACCTATGCCCTTCACAGGGCTGTGCAGGCAATGAATCACAGCTCTGCCTTGGCCCTAGCAGTGGCTCTGCACTGTCACCGCCCCATGATCCTGCCCCATGATCCTGGTCTTGTCTGCCCATCGCACTCCTGAACACCACTCCCCACCTGTCCACAGCCCCACTCCATTTGCCCACCAACGTGCCCTGCTGTGTGGGTCCCACCCCTTGCAGTGGGTGTGGAGTGGACTTGATGGGTCTAGCAGCAGTGGCAGCCAGAAGGAGCCACCGCTGCCACCACCAGGGCTGCTGGTAAGCAAGTCCAGTTGCTGCACTGCCCCAGCCCTGCTGCATACCTTGGGGTGGTGCAACTACCCACATGCACCATGGCCCAGGCTGCCCCCTGTGCCTGAGTTGGGCGGGACTGAGGGACCCAGTGTAGGCTGGACAAAATTCTTCAGTGGACCAGATCTGATCTGTGAGCCATATTTTGCCCACCTCTGGTCTAGACCTATGGCTGTTGTAAAGTTACACAACATTAGCTTTACAGCCTCACTGAAGTTAGAGGTAGAAAGGTCTAGCTAGCTATTCCATCCCTTGGAGATAATGTAGAATTTTTCCCTGCGGTGTATACTCAGGTGCTTTGGTCCAGTCCAGATGGGACTTCTGTCATTGTGAGAGCTGGGGGAGCTGATGCCAACCTAGCCTGAAAATATTCCCCTTAAATTTAGCTGAGCCCTGTTATCCCTAAGTATCTCACTTTCCTTGCATGAACAGTTCTTTCTTGTCGTTGGTGTTTACACACTCTAGCAAATATACAGAGGAGACATATTCCTTTGTCATTATTTTTTTAGCTCAGAGAAACACACTTAGACCCACTCTAGTCAGGTTTATGCCACAGATAATTCTAATTACTTCAATATCTGTGACTGCAGTAGGATTGCAAGTGTGTGAAACAGATGATAATATGAGGCTTAGCTCGGTTTTTTCCTAAAAATTCCAGCCCTCCAGTCTCTTAACCATTTTGCGCTTTTTGTTTAATCTCCCTTTAATTTTTTTATTTGTATGATTGTTTGTTTGATGGGAGATTCAGGCCTCTGCAAAACTAATTGTAGCATTTTAGGTGAGGTCCTACCCATGGCACAAACAGGAAAAATTCTAAGCATGAACACTCGCCATGAAAAGATCTACCCCACCCTGCTACCTTTTGTGTTGGCTCCATGAAGCTCCTGCTTCCTGGGCTGCTCCAGTGTCATAAACCTCAGGTCTGCATATGTCACTTCTTCTGCCATTTCTTGCAAAGTTCTGATACAAATCAAAGTTAGGGCTGAGCATGCACAGGGAGAACCAGACAGAGATGTAGTTCGAGCTGTGATCATTCAAGCAGCTGCTGTCATTAGCAAGTGATTCACATAGAGTCAAATGGAGACTTTGGTTCATGCCTGAGAGTTTTATGACACAAAAATTCTGAGGCCTTGGAGTGTTTTGTTTTATATCCTGTGAGAACTTTTAAAATAGATTGACAGGGTTATATGTGTATCATCTTCTGCCTAAGCAGAAGCGCAGCTAGCATGGGTTATGGAATCGTTGTCTTTTTATCATGCCTAACCCTTGCAAGGCTGCTGCTTCCGGGGGTGGGAGACCACTAGTGGGAACTGAAACTGGCTCTTCTTGGCTTACAGATAAATTAAAGTAGATCAGCAGATGGGGGAATTTAAGCCCCATCAGACTCTGAACCCTTGCTAGCCGGAGGTCAGGAAAAGGACTTGAGCTTGTCTGTCATGCCTGGCAGCCCAGAACATTGACTCACAGACCGGATCCAGATGGGCAGGCATGTGCGGTTTGTGGTGCCGCAAACCTCCTTGCGGTACCACAAACTGCACGTGTTGCATGTTAAACCATGTCCCGTGCTGCTAATGTGCAGTGCTGGGGCTAAATTTGCTACTGGGATTTCTTAGTAGCAAAAAAAAAAAAAATCCTAAAAAAAAAACCCCATGCAAAGCATGCCGAAGTGCAGTATACCAGGGCAAACGTGGAGATGGGGGAGCAGGCAGCCTAGGGCCATGGAGTCCTCGCAGTGAGGCATGCAGAGACAAGGGAGCAGCCAGCCCAGGGCTGCCTGCTCTCCTGTCTCACAACCTGGTGCACTCCAGATAGCTGGGGTGCGGCTGGCTGGCACACAGGGTGCCTCAGTGCAGGGACTCCACAGCACAGAGACAAGGCAGCAGGAAACCCTGGGCTGCCTGCTCCTCCCTCTCCATATGGCACTCCCGGGCTGGCTACTGACTAGCACTACACTGAGACACACTTTGCCCAGCCAGCCCCCGCCTCTGCAGTACATGAAGCAGTGGGACAATGTGTCCCACTGCAAACTGCATGAGCAGGGGCACTGCAGCACAAACTAGCGGCTTTGTTTGTGCTGCTGCAAATGCATGCCCCTGCTCATGTGGATGTGGCCACAGGGGACAAAAACCCAAACTCTGCAGCATTCTCACCAGCCATTGGTATAGTGGGCAACAGGCTAGTACTGGGCAGTTTTGACTGCTGTTCTGGAGATGGCTCCAGTCTTGCCTCCACAGCATCACTAGGCAGAGGGCATGAGAAGTCAGAGGCTCCGTTCTCCTGTGAGAGGATTACTATAGCTGAAAATAATGTGTAAGGCATTTGAGGTTACCTGAGGTCATGCAAAAGATGAACATTCATCAAGTTTTACTGTCCGAAGTCTAGGAGAAGGAGACAGCACATTTTGTGCCCAGTTCCAGACAATTCCTTACTTATATCCTTCTGTGGAACAAAATGTACACAAAGACTGCACCATGCAGCAGTGTAAAACCCAGTAATCCCCAAGCAGGTGCCACAGTTAGTTACAACAGGACTCCATCTTATTAAGTCCCGATCAAATCCTCTGAGGTTTGTGTAGCAACCCCCATGGAACTTGGATGGTGTAGCACAGACTGCAAGAGAGAAGAGTTTGGATGAGGCACCAGAAAGCTAGTCTATGTAGACATGGCAAAAATGCAAGCTAGAGCTGGCGCATCTATGTTTTAGTTGTCTCAGTAAAGAGCCAAGTTAATTTTAAAAGCAGAGCAATGTAGAACTGGAAGGGGCTTCATGGGCCATTAAGTCCAGTATGCAACCTTTACAGGAACCAGTTGTCCAAAGGAATTCACAAATACATCCACTCTGACCCCTCTTGCACACTGCAACTACAAAGCACTTTATAAAAAAAACACTAGAATATGCCTGAGGGAAAGACTAGGAGAGACAAGGGCACCAACAATGCTTTTCCTCTGCGGTGGCAGGGAGTTAGCCCTTTTATGCGGTACATAGACTGTGGGTCTACTCCATATGTAGTTGCAGGGGAAAAAAATGAAATTCTTGTGAAACCCAAGTTCTTTTCTTCTGTGTTTCTGAATACGCAAGGGAAAATATCAGCTGTGTGATGAGGCTGGTCTTATCAAAACAGTCCTCAGAATTGTGATAAGGCATGAATAACTTAGAAGTTTCCATCAACTAAGAGTTGTACAGCTAATTTTCTTCTCAAATCTACAAGTAGATGTGCTCCCAGGTGAGATTGGGCTAGCTCAAGAAAGAAGATGTGTGTAGTCTATACATGTTTTTACACATGCAGTGTGCACATATCCATAAGCAGACCTTGTAAATAAGGAACTCCTCTTTATCTACACCTACCAACTATGCTGTATGCAGAGCCCAAGGGTGGATATGTATAAATCTGTGGACCGTTGAAATCTTCAGCAAAACAGAAGAACATATTTGAAAGACAATGGTGTGTTTAAGCAATTTTGTACGTCTGTTCTCACAAGCTTATAATCGTAAACCTTTAAAGAGAAGAACATTTGGTGAGAGAAAATTCACTTTGGGATCAAATAAATCAAAGAACAATAAAACTACTTGATAATGAGGAAAAGTATTACATTGATGTGAAGGGAATTCTTCTATAACTGTTTAGTGGACTAACAAGGCTATATTTGAATTAAAGTTCTATTGCCACAATATTGTCAGACACACCACAGAAATTAAAGCAGTTTAGAATACAGTGTCGAGCCAGCATGAATAATCTCTGAAGGCTGCTGTTTCAGATGCCAGAGTTGTTCTCTCATTAGAGAAACTTTTATCACTTAACATGCTATTTCTCCAAATCTGATAATTCTAAAATTGAAATTCTCTTCTCACTGAAAGTTAAAGTCTGACTGACAGTATGTTGTCAATAACTATCAAACGTAAAAACAAATCTGGAAAGGTTTGGGCTTCTGTACTTGATGATACATGACCAACCAGATTCTTTGCCAGTGTTAATCAGTAGGTCAAGTTGACTTCAAAGAAGTTATGCTAATTTGCACCATCTTAGTATTTGACAGCTGCAAGATTAAACACAGCAGGAAGATTACATTGATTTTTTTAACAAGAAATGATCATGTATTTAGGGTTGGCATGAATCCTTTGTAAATTCAATGACAAGGTCCCCTCCTCCTACCACCCCTACCCCCTCCTAGCTCTACTTGTGTTAATTGTAAGTTGTTAAATTAGGCTGAGTTTTTACATTGCAGCTAGGTTGAGCCCACACAGATAATTTGCACTTGTTTCTTTTGTTATTTTGTATTGAGCCATATCAGTTCTAAATGTTGCATTTAATAAGAAAGCTGCTGAGCTGACATGTATGTGTGTATGCTATCTTTTCTTTTCAAGCTTTTGTCATATATTGGGAGATTTAAAAGGGAAAGAAAGGAAAGGTGAGAACAAGAAAGTGGAACAATGTACAGGTGGACAACAAGTCCCTTGGGGCCCACCACCATTACTCAAAATACACTCCAGGTTCAGAAACTGGCTTATGTACAAGAATGATTAGATAGATAGATAGATAGATAGATAGATAGATAGATAACCTAAAAAGAACACCCCAATGCTATTTTGCAAGTTGCTCACTCATGCTCATATAAACGTTTTTATAATTGGGTTGGTAGATGGTTTCTTAACCTCTGTTTGAGGGAATGAGTGTGTTATGTTCCCGAATCCATTTGTTCTGCTCTGTGGGTATAATAGGCATGACTGGAGCTAATGATTCACTCGCCTAATGTGGATACAACGTGATCATAACATGAAGTAGCAAGTCTCCCTCATCACTGCACTGTTCACTTCCTCGTCACCCTTCCCCAACAACATTTTTCTATACCAGTCCTGGGTGGTTGCAGGGCACAAATGGTAACACATTACTAGGGAGCATTTTCCTATTTCAGAATTGGAAACAGAGAAAGCAAACCTAATTACATACATGTAATCACTCAGTGGCTACTTGTGAGCAGGGATGTAATAGAAATTCAAAGTGATTATACAAGAGGGGGAAAATAAGAGGGCATTAAACGAAGTCTGTTAAACTGAAGAGCTTGAGGGAGAATAGCAATAAATATAGTAGGAGAAGCAGCAACACATTCTGTTACAAAAAAATATAAGTGGTTGAAGGGCATTGGAAGAACTGGGTGGGGAGCAAGGGGTTTCAGGGAAGGACTGAGGAGCATCAGCAGAGCTGTGTGGGGAGCCCAGATTACAATACCAGATGGAGGGATTGGAGGGCAGGTTGGAGATGCATCAACAGAGGCCCAAAATTGAAAAGGCACCAATGGAGGAGTAATGGACACTGTATTAGAAATGTGTTCCAGTACTTCTCCCATGCCTGCCCACTCTGCACAGGAGGAGCTTCCCAGGTACAGTGAATATCCCCTCTATTCTGAACCTGAACTTCTGGTTAAACTCAACATGCCAGATCAGCAAAAGTATAACAATGTAAGTGGGGCAGGAGGGGGTCTGCATGTGGGAGGAGAGAGAGGAATATTGTCTTGGGTAAAGGGATGGGTCAACAGCCTGACCTTCAACCTGCACCATTTTCCCTGGGGAAGGGGGTGGAGAGAATGGTAATTGGGAATGAATGAGATTAGAGAAGTTTTTTCCCCATAGAAGAGAAGTTCTCTCAAGACCAGGGTTGTATTTTTTTTTCTTTGACTCCATGGACCAGATCAATTGGAAATAAAAAAAAATTAGTTACTGGTATCTTCAGTGGTCCTCCTGCAGTGATTGAATAGTATCTGAGTTCCCTTTAGAAGAGGAAGAAAGAGAGTAACATAAAGAAACAAACACAAAGAGATGAACAAACACAAGTGGAGAGAAACAGAGAAAGAAACAGCCAGAACAGTGTGAGAGAAAGGAAGAAGACCTGGGCTTCAGCAAGAGGTGGAATAAAGAGAAAGGGGATCACCCCTATTCCCTTCCCTGAATTGAGGATTGGTGAGGATGCACTAAACATAGGAAAGAAGGACGGACTGTGGGTTGCATGTGAAAGCAGAGACCTCTCTAATTCCTCATGGGGGCCCATAGCCTGGCCGTGACCTTCTTTACCCTGGCAAGTCTCTTGTGGGTGAGTCGCATCACAAGTTCCTCTTTTGTCAAGTATAACATCTGGTTATGGTATTACCTCAGTACATTTATAAGGTGTCAAAAGCTGATGTGAAATAACATTTTCCCTGTTGTTTCAAAGTGGTGGGAATATATGGAAGTGTCCATACAAGACAGAAGGTCATTCAAAGCTGTAATGGGGAAGACATAGAAAATAAATGTAGATACGTGAAGCAAGAGAATAAGTGGAACAGAACTAAAGTGAGGAATGATAGAAAGTAAAGGTGACTAACTGCAGGTTCCCAAGAGGCAGAGGAAAATTCAGAGCTGTAATAAGCATGATGCTGATGGCTCAGTATTTGACAGTGGAAGGGAATTCAGATGTGTAACTCAGACTGTAGAAAGTGGGTGATAATTTACACAGAGAAAAAAGAAGAGAATTTGGGATCTATAATGGAAGCAACAACAGCTGGGATGTAAAACCGTGACGGAGGAATAGATACAAATATGGTAGAGTGAGTGAGAGGGATAATAAAAGGTGTCTCAAAAGTGAGTCTTTCCAGGCTGGAGCTTAGGATCGGTATGGGGAGAAATAAAAGATAAGATGATACCAAGACATCAGGGAGCCCGAATCAGGACAACTAACACTGATTGCCTCTGCTTGCTTTTTTTCCATGTAGTTTCCACAAGTACAATGTGAGGAGGTCTGTGTGAACACTGAACAGTAAGTATATGCACATCCTGAATTGGTTCCAAAACAGGGCAGCATAAGTATGGGTTTGAGAAGACTCCACTGATGGTATTTTCCACAGTCTACTACAAGTGAGCTGCCATAGTGATAGTGCAGATTCCCACAAGAAACTAATGCAGACAGAACGTGGAGTTTATTTGAATTATTTGCCAAAAAATTCCTAGGAATAAATCTTGTTCTGCAGCTGATTCATAAGCAATTCATTCTAAGTTGTCCGCAATATGAACTTGAGACATACTGACTAGATCTGATTGGACACATAAGTCATGCTTCTGCTTCCTACATAAGTAGTACTTCTACTTCCTACCTGGATCAATTTAACACTTATCGGGCATGTCTACATGTACTTTTATGTACACCCAAACTTAATGTGCATTTGCCTAAGGTGTACGCTGTAAGTAGCCCTGATTAAAGTTATAAATTGGAAGTTTTCTACATGAATATATACTTAAATTTGCTATTTCTTGGAAAAATGATATGGACATTTTCAAGAATCTTAACAGAAAGTGAATGCAAAGCAAATATTAAAGCTTCCAAGAAAAATTTATTTTTATTAATGAAATTTTGGGCAAACATTTTTTCTCAGATGCTTAGCTAACTATATGTAAAGTAATGTACATTGTGCATGAGGGATAAAAATACAGAGAAAAAAACAAAACAGCACTGTTGGAAGACCTAATTTATGAAGAGAGATTAAGAGAAGAGAGTTTTAGAAATTATAACTCTCTATTAGTAACTGTAACTGTAAGTTGTAAACAAAATAGAGGTACGTGCATGAGAAGAAGGACAAGGAACAAATGAGCCAAAGCCAAGCAAAGACAAAGATTTCAGGCCAGCTCTTTAATAGAGAGATTTATTGGAATATTCTACTTGGTATGAGTAGTGGAAGACCCTCACATAAGTAATTTAAAATTTGGGACACAGATTTGCCCACAGGCAGTCATCAGATGGAGTGAACAGGGGAAGTGCCATGGGACAGTAGAGAAGACAAAGATGGATTTCCCTATCTGTAACTTCCAGGTTTTTCTGTTATGACCTTTTTATTGCTCCTTTTCCTCAGATGCTCAACCACTAACTGGGTCCACCTCTGGTACATCTGGTAAGTTTGCGTGTGCATCCCTCCATAAATATCTGGTTTAGCTGTCACTTTAGTTACTGAGCAAACACAAGAATTAAGATTATTTAACACCTCAAATCTTCCACTCGGTCCCCTCTAATGTTATAAAAGTTGTATTGCATTTCTCCATTCTTCCTGGGTTGCATTAGTGTTACCACATTATCTTGAACATACCTTAGTGTCTCTTTCCATCTCAGTTACATATTCCTATTAAATATATTAAAGATAAGATGCATCATGCACAGAATGTTTTTATGGTATGGCCAGGTGGGGGGTGACATTTTTTAAAGGACTGTCTCCTTACATTTTAATAATTGCAGTTGGATCATGTATTACAATTCCTTCAATGCCTGCACTAAGATGTGTGGTAGTAACTGTGTTCCCTCTCCCTTTATAGGCTGGCGGTAGCTATTGGTGGGCTTCTACTCTTGTGTGGCATAGTCTTAACCTGTGTGAGGTGCTGCTGCCTTAACTGTTGGAGGGCTGGAGAAGAACCAGTTCCTCACCCGTATGAGGTTACAGTCATCGCCTTTGATCATGACAACACCCTCCAGAGCACAATTACATGTGAGTGTCACCTTGCCAAAGCCAAGCTCCTTATAAGGAAGGCTGAGAGACCTTGAATTAAACTTTTTGAAAGGTTCTAGTACCCATAATATCTTGAAATATGCCACATTCTTTAGCCCCACATGTCTTATATTTTCTGTGTGTGGTGAGGGAATAGGGGAGTGGCAGGTTAGAGAGCAAGGCTGGCATCAGATGAGGGTAGGTTCATTATGTCACTTGGTGGAGTGATGATGGGAAGGTCCTCACCCCCATGTCACACCACATACAGCAAATTATCTAGTGCTGGGGAATGAGAGGACTTGGTATCTAGGGACACTTGTACATGTGATGGGGGTTTAGTTGCCTAAATTGAAATGGTGGGTTTTAACTGAAATGATTAAAAACCCACTGTTTCCATTTAGGGGCTTCCATCACTGTTACAGCAAGGGGCATAGTCCTTTTTTTTTTTTCTTTTACATAGCCCCCGGCCCTTCCTTCCAAGGCAGCAGTTCACCCTGGGGCTGCCCAGGCCGGCTGCTAGCAGGTGGATGCTGCCTCAGCTCAGCCTCAGGGGAGAGTTTCCTAGTTTCATAGTTGTTAGGGTCAGAAGGGACCTCAATAGATCATTGAGTCTGACCCCCTGCCCAGGGCAGGAAAGAGCACTGGGGTCATATGACCCCAGCCAGGTGCTTGTCCAGTCTCCTCTTGAAGACCCCCAGGGTAGGAGAGAGCACCACCTCCCTTGGAAGCCCATTCCAGATTCTGGCAACCCTGACTGTGAAGAAGTTCTTCCTGATGTTCAACCTAAATCTGCTCTCTGTCACTTTGTGGCTGTTGTTCCTGGTTATTCCAAGGGGTGCTCTGGTAAACAGAGCATCTCTTATTTCTTGCTGCCACCCCACCCCCTACCCCTGCAATGAATTTGTAAACAGTCACAAGATCCCCGCTCTGCCTTCTCTTGCAGAGGCTGAGGAGATTCAGGTCCCTCAGTCTCTCCTCATAGGGCCTTACCTGCAGGCCCCTAACCATACAAGTGACCCTCCTCTGGACCCTCTCAAGGTTGTCCACATCTCTCGTGGAGTGTGGCACCCAGAACTGGATGCAGTACTCCAACTGCAGCCTGACCAACGCCACATAGGGGGGAAGTATCACTTCCCTGGACCTGTTTGTGATGCACCTGATAATGCAAGATAGAGTGCAGTTAACTTTACTGATTACTTCATCACATTGATGGCTCATATTCATTTTGGAGTCAACTATGACTCTGAGATCCCTTTCTGCTGCTGTGCTGCTGAGAAGGTCATCCCCTAGCCTGTAGGTGTGTTGGTGATTCCTTCTCCCTAGATGCAGCACTTTGCACTTGTCTTTGTTGAACTGCAACCTATTCTTTTCTGCCCACTTTTCCACCCTGTCTAGGTCTGCCTGGATTCAATCTCTTCCCACTAGTGTGTTTACTTTACCCCATAATTTTGTGTCATCCGCAGTTTGGGCAGAGTGCTTTTCACGCCCTCATCCAAGTCACTGATAAAGACATTGAGTAGCACAGGTCCAAGGACCGAGCCTTGGGGGACCCCACTGCCCACATCTTTCCAGGTCGATACCAACCAGTCCACCACCACTCTCTGGGTGTGACCCCCTTAAGCCAATTTGCCACCCACCTGACTGTGTAATCATCTATGTCACAGCCGCTCAGTTTGCTTATGAGACTACGATGAGATACGCTATCGAAAGCCTTCTTAAAATCCAATTAGATGACATCTACCTCAACTCCTGCATCTAAGGGCCCACCGGCAGCTCACTGCCCAGCCGCAGGAGAGGAAGGAAGGCACTACCAAAAAAAAAAAAAAAAAGGATCAGACCCCTCAATGTTTTGTTTTTTTTTTCTCCTGGCGGACTCTGGTGAGCTGGTGCCAGGCCACACAGCCCCAGAACTGTGGGGAGGCCCTGGTCCTTCCCTCTGTGGCAGTGGTGGCCCCTGGGGCCACCTGGGCGGGGTACTAGCTGCACGGGTGCTGCCCCACCTCAAAGGCAGCACCTGCTGGATTCAACTCTTGCTCAAGCCTGCATGCTGGAACCAGCAAGTATACTTTCCTTTGCCTTCTGACAAGTTGATGGTTTCTGGTTTAGACTAATTATTGTTCCCATCCCTTTTAGCTCTCCACTCTGTGTTCGGTCCTGCTGCCAGGAGGATACTGGCCGTGGCACACTCCCATAACACTGTACAAGGAGCACCACCCCTTTGTGGATCAGAAACCCCTCCAGTGTATGAGGAAGCCCTACGCATGAGCAGGTTCACTGTGGCCCAAGCTGGACACAGAGCCACAGACTTCGCCTCGATACCAGAGGAAAAACAACAGGCCTCAGCTGAGAAAGAAAATTCACAACCAAATCTTCCATGATGCTATCACTTCTGACTTTATTCAGCAGAAAATGGGCACATCTACATGTGTACTTTACTGTACATTAACCTATTTAATGAGCATTAAAACATCACTAAAAAACCATGCTCTTTAGTTAACGTGCATTTTCTTAGTACCGCACAGTGGAGCTACTAGATTTAATGAGCATTGACTAAAGTGCATTAATGCACATGTAGACATTAATATTCAGGGAAAACATCTAGATCTCTACTGGCTGGGTACAGGACACATGTTTGATTTTTTCTGTTTTTGTCCAATGTAATAAACAAGGAATGAAAATAACTTGATTTCCAGTTAGGCTATAGTACAGAGTATTTTTGTAGAGCTCTCCTGATCAGTCTCTGAGAGCTGGGATTATTAACCAGTTATTAATATCCATTGTTACTATTTATTGCTTTTATTACCCACAGCAGTAAGATGCTTATTATTGTAGTACCAAGCACCATAGGTTGCACATACAATAAGCTGACAGTGCTGTGCTCTTGATGCACTCTAATAGCAGGTGCAGAAACCCTGCACTGAGATGCAGTAGCCTCTTTTGGAAAAGTATGGATGCAAGATGCTCCATTGGGTGGGGTTTATCCAGTAAATTCAGCCTGGCTATAAGGGAGGTAACAATGATGCATTAGTCAGAAGGGACAAGAGCGATCTGATGAGAGGAACATTAGGAACAATGAGAACTGGAGAGAAAGCCTTTATGTTCTGTGGTGATTAGTAATCTTGTTAATAAAACCAACCTCTTGAGACTTTATAGCCAGCCTCCATGTTGTGCAATGGTAAAAGGATGAATTTAACATAATTCAGTGTGCTTTGTAATTCAGATCAGGGCAGAACTACCAGCTGTTTATTTAAGTGAAACAGCATAGTGAAGTAGCTATTGTGCGTGTGGACACTCAGGTACATCTAGTTCCAGTTTATCTTAGTCCAGGCTACTCCATGTGCAGAGAAACATTCACATTTGAATTAGGAAAATGCAATATTTAGACTGACAGATGAGACATAGACAAGACAGAGATGCTACATGGGAAATAAAGCTCATTCAGTGTTTTCACTGCATCTGTATTGCAATGCTTATTAATATTACTAGAGCAGATCAGACTACTCAAGCTGAATAATATTCAGTGGGTACATCTACATGTGCATTAATGCACTGTTGCTACCACAGATTAAGTTTAGTACTTCTAATATGAGATACTAAATAAATGCACAGTAGCCAGTGCTAATGTACAGTATCAGCTGCACACAGTCTTACTGTGATGCTTAATGTGAAGAAGACTAAGTCTACTGTGCTTTAGTGCGTAAGTATGTTTTTTGCCGTAGCACGCTAATGCGCAATAGAATTAGTCTACTGTGCATTGTCTTGTTTAGACACACATAGTATAAATGTAAGTCACTTCTCTGAACCCTAAGCACTAAGTTTTCAAAACTATTTAACAAATAGTTTGTATGAATAAGTTTCAACCTATAGATTCCTTTAGAAATCTTACCTTGATTAGGAACTCTTTCTGAAGCCTGATTAGTTTTCTCTGTTATGTGATTATTGGTTCTGCTTCCAGATGAGATGGGTGAAAAACATTTATGCAGACAAATAGAAAATGACAAATCATGAAAAATTATGAATTAATTCATGATAAATTGATAATGTGAACATGTAGATGGAGGTTCAGATATATAGGTCTTTATGTCTGTATCAAAAGTGCATGTATATAAGGTTATGATTTTGTTGGGACAGTCACAGATGTCAGGAACCATGGGTCTGAATAAGTGCTTTGACTCTTACAGTGTTCCATGCCATCCGATCAGAGATGAGACTGTGCTGTTCATGGGAAGTGTAGATCAATCAGTAAGGTTGGGCTACCAAAGGGAGTGCTAGCAATCCCCATGAAGCATTGCACCACAGTAGAGAAATACAGCCAGTGACATAGTTGGTCAGATGTTGCAAACATGATTGGAAACCTTGATGTGAATATTGCTCTTTTTTTCTACAACTCTGATGCGGACTTCATTAAAAATTCCTGTGCCAAAATCATAGCCTTACATATAGGCCCCCTGTCACTGTAGGATCTGAGTACTTTACTGTCCTTATTATGGTATTTGTCCTCACAACCCATTATGAAATCAGGGAACATTTTATGAATAGAGAACTGGGGCATAGGAAGATGAAGGCCCAGACCGTTAAAGCTTTTATGCACCTAACTCTCACAGAAATCACAGTAAAGGGATGCTTAAAGGACGGTTTTGAAGGAAGATAATGGAGCAACTTGGCTGATCCAATCAATAGGGATTAGGTGCCTAAATACCTTTGGATATCTAGATGTAAATGTCTTCCTAAAGATCACAAGGTAAGTCTGCAGCAGAGAAGGTCTCAATTAACCAGTTAAGAAATTTCCTGAATCCCTGATAATTTTCTTGTATTATCCAGGCATTGTCTAACTGGTTACTACTAGGAGCAACTGCAAACTATTGACTTGTGAATAATTGTCAAAACTCCTTTTCCACCATTCACCTTGAATTATTATTAATAATTATTTTCTGGGGTATTGTAAATTCTCATTAATCTCATCCAGTAGTTGGTTTTAATCCAAGTCAAATTTGATGACTCCATTATGTGGTTGAACATTTCCTGGAAAATTCTGGGTGACTGCTATAAAAATCTGGAACAGATGGTCACATTTCCACCTGCTGACTCTTTGCACAGGTCTGCTATGTACACAGTTTCAGGAATACTTAAAGATCATCTTCCATTTAAAACACAACATACCTTCACTTCCTCCACCCTTCCAAAGCTCAGAGTAGAACAGTCCAGTATTTGACACTTCTGTGTGTTTAGCACTAGAGGTCACTCATTCTCCAGCACTTTAGATTTTGTTAGGGAGCATTTTCATGGAGCAATAAAGATATGGCTAAAGCAGAATTGTAGTACTCCCTTCCAGCCAGTTTTCCCTCTTTCCTGCCATCCCTCTTTCACTCACTGTACAAAACACTGTCTTGCTTGTTATGCAGCCCTATCACCCGGATGCCATCTTTGATTCAGCCATTTCTGTGGGTTTCTGCATCCAAGTTCTCTAAATCTTGCTGACTGTTTCTGGGTAAAATATGGCCTTTCCAATCCATGCACAAAGCTAAAACTATTGTCTGAGGGCTTGCCACTTTGCACCTGGCTTACTCCAACAACATTTTCAAACGATGCAGTTATGCCCTGCTTCCGTCCACTTAGAATGCTGCTGCAAAGATATTTTTCCAGCCGATCATTTTGACCACCGTGCCCCTCTGTGGAGACCTTCTCCACTTGGCTGTTTTTCCTCTAACATAACAAATATAAGCTATTTGTCTTCACTTTCACAGTACTTTATATAGCCTCTCTTTTCTTGAACTGTCATCCACAATGCCCACCTCCTTCGCCCATTGCAAGTTACATTTTTGAATAAGTACCTTTGTGCTTTGTTGCATGCTTACCCTCATGCTTGGGAGAAGTTCATCCACCAAAATGCCTCCATGTTTTAAAACCCTCCTTAAAACTTTTTTTGCTGTGATGCACAAAGAATACTTGGCAATGATTAGACTGATGGAATGCTGAGACGCCTGCTTGCCATGTTGACAAATATTATCTTGCTGTTCCCTTATACTCTTGTACTGGTCAGGTTATATCCATTTATTGTCCCTTCAATGGTAAAATAGTTGGCTCAGGGGCTTTTGTTCTGTGTATCTACAGTTCTGGAACAATGGAATCTGTCTGTGATTAGGGTTCCAGAGTACCATAAAATAATGATAATAATAAATTTCACCTGCTATAGGCTTGTGTTTTATTACTTTGACCTCAGATGAGCCGGGAATTAAAAACAAAACAGAAAATGTCATTGTGTCACTGTGTAAGTCTCTGGTACACCTAGACTTTGAATACTGCACATAGTTCTGGTTCCCCTGGCCCCAAAAGGATAGAATGGAACTAGAAAAGATATAGAAAAGGGCAACGAAGATGGACAGGGGTGTGGCATGACTTTTGTAAAGGACAGATCAAATATATTAGGATTTGTCAGCTTGCATAAGACATGGCTGACGGGCACTGTATTTTGGCACTCCTCATCTTTTCCACCAATATCAGCTGGGGAAAATTAGGGTGCATATTATATGTGAAGAAAAGGATTCCCCACATGTCCAGAAATTTGGTAGAGGGGGCAGGGAGAGCCAGAGCAGTGACAGCATTAATTGCTGAAGCTCTGGGAGTCACAGCAACTAATGATGTTTCTGATCCTATCCCCTGCCACCAAATTTCCAGACCCATAGGGAGCCCAACTTCCTGATTGTGCACGTGATTGGACTAGCGCACAGGGTTGGTCTGACCTGGCACATGGCCCTGGATCTGGCTTGCCATTTCTCACCCCATGTACTGGCTCCACAGTTATGTGCTGGGTCTGTTCCCACATGCTGCCTCTGGGGTTGTGCAGTGAGCCTGAGACCATGTGCTGGCTCTGGAGCCATGTGCTGGATCCAACCCAGACTTGGCGCACGGTTCTGGGCTCAGTGCATGACACTAGAGGCAATGCATGTGGTCAGACCTGGCATGCGGCTCTGAACTCAGCAGTTGGTCCCAGGCTTAGCGCACAGTCCAGATGGCAGCACATAGGGTCAGACACAGCATGTGGCTCTGGAGCCAGGGCATAGCTCCAGACTTTTCATGTGGTCCCAGACTTGACCCACTGGGTCTGACCTGGCATGTGCTTCATGAGCTAGCATGCAGAATCAGACTGGACATGCGCCCCTGGACCCAGCATGCCAGGTCAGTCTGCAGGCCCAACCAGTGTAAAGGGGCTGGCAGTAGGCTCAGGAGTGGGCTCAACTCCCTAGCTGTCACCACTAACTTACATTGATCAAAATGTATTTGGTTTTCCTACAGGCTTCCCTGAAAAATCAAAGCATATACTATATACAGGGGCATATTATTTGTGAAACAATATGGTAGTTGAGTTCTATTATTCTGAGAATTCAGCCAGTAGAACAGAAGTCCTAGACTTCAGAAGGGCAGACTCTGGTAAACTCAGGAGACTAGTTAAAAGGGCCTTCCGTGACCAACAACTGAATGATTTG